GCTTTGGGACGGACTGCAAAGAGATGATAGCGATGCTCAGGAATCCTCAAGAATGGTCAAGCTTCTCAACAGAATTGGAAAAGCTAAAGATGCTGCGGATTTGCTTTCCAGAATTCAAGATATTCTACGTTCCTAGGACTGAGAATGATTCTTCTGATTTTTTAGCTAAAGTTGCTCGATCTTTCTATCGAGATCTATTGTATGTTGGTTGTTCTATTCCGCTTTGACTTCCCAGACCACCTCAAATTTAAGTAATAGATCAGTCTTTTGATACCAAAAAAAAAATTAAATTAAGAGAATTGAAATATCAAGACTTTAATATTTGTACGTACGATTTTACTATATAAATTGTTGTGAATTTGCGAGAGATATAATAAATAATAAAAATTGAAAAAGTTAAAGATAAATTAACTGAGGCAAATAACTACCTCGTAAAATCGAAATTCATAATGTCCTAAAACCAGATTTTGTATAACTAAAACCGTAATTGGTCGTCTTATAAAAAAAAAAACTAGAACTGTTATTCATAATCGTCATATGTTAATGTCTGCCTGCGATTTTAACAATGCACTAGTGTAAAAAAAACAAAAACAATGCACTAATTGGTTTTCGCCATTGCAGAAATAAACCTTTAATAATAATTATATATAAATATAATAATTTCATTTTATTAAGCCCCTCCCTGCATCCCGGGTTTCACAGAAGGAGATTTTGCGCTCCAGCTCGTGCAACTCCCTGATCTATGCACGTTACTTTTTAATTTAAAAATAAAAAAAAAAATTATAACTAGTTAATCCCAGGAAAAATATTGTCATTTAATGGATTAAGATTACGTTTCTCACAGTAGTAACTTCACATTGATTTGAGAACTAGGTGTTTTGCCCGCATTTGCGGGCATAATTCTTTTATGAATATTTATTAGTTGATGTTTCATTAGTTTAAAAATTAGCATAGTATGTTATTATTTATGTTTTCAAAAAGTAAAAATCAAACATCAAATAATTATCAATGACAAAGTTCAAACATCAAAAATATTTAAAAGAATATATTTCATAACTATTTTTCTTGATTTATATTTAATTATAATTTATATATCTTAATTTTAAATTTTATATTAGAAAAGCATATTTTCAAGATAACAATATAATGCATAAGTTATTTATTTTCTGATAAAATAATATGATATTTTTTAACTATATAATAATTATATAAGATTATAGAAATTATGATATATAATTAAAATTACCTAAAATCATTGAGAAGTTAATTAATCAGAAAATTCACTTCTTAAATAATTTTTCTTGAGTGGGAATTTATATTTAATTAATAATAGATAATTTTTCTATTTTACTTTTAAATTATATAATATAAAAATATATTTTCANATTGAGAAGTTAATTAATCAGAAAATTCACTTCTTAAATAATTTTTCTTGAGTGGGAATTTATATTTAATTAATAATAGATAATTTTTCTATTTTACTTTTAAATTATATAATATAAAAATATATTTTCAGGATAACAACATAATACATAATAATTACCATATTCTCTAAAAGTATAATATTATTAGTGTAAATTTATTTCAATTATAGAATAACTACAACTTTTTATATCTTAATTTTAAATTTCTAATAGAAAAATATATTTTCAAGACAACAACTTAATACATAAGAAGTATTTTATTTTCTAAGAATATGATACTATTAATATAAATTTGTTTTAAATATATAATAAATCATATATAAAATTATATAAATTGATAAATTATCAAAAATAACTTAAATCATGAAAAATATGACAAATCACCAAACATCAAATTCACTTCTTAAATAATTTTATAGATTTTTTACATGTTAATTTTAAATTTATAATAGAAAAATATTTTTTTCAAGATAACATCATAATACATAAGAAATAACTTATTTTTTAAAATATCATATTATTAATATAAATTAGTTTTAATTATATGATCAATAATAAACAAAATTATAGCAGTTCTAATAAATGATCAATATTACCTAGGATCATGGAGACAAATCAACAAATTAACTTTTCAAATAATTGTTTTGATTATATTTAATTATGATATATTTAATTATTAATAATATAATTTTTATATCTTAATTTTAAGTTTTATAATAGGAAAATATATTTTCAACATAACAACATAATCCATAATGATTATTTTATTTTAGAAAAATATTAAATTTTTAATATAATCATTTTATTTTAGAAAAATATTAAATTTTTAATATAAATTCGTTTTAATTATATCTAAATATTAAATTATTAATATAAATTTGTTTTAGATAAATATAATAGTGTTTATATCTTAATTTAAAATTTAATTTTTATATATAAAAATATATTTCAAGATAACAACATAATTCACAAGAATTATCTTATTTACTAAAAATATGCTATATTAATAGAAATTCGTTTTTATTAAATAATAAATTTTATATGAAATTATTTAAATAAGGTAAATAAACAAATTTACCTAAAATTAAGGAGAAGTTGACAACTAAGCAAATTTACTTCTTAAATAATAGTATAGATGAGTATGTTCACGTATCACTTGCAGAGAATTTCTCGACCAAATTTTACATAAATTCATTCACACTGTATACTATTTTAAATTTCTTTCAATAAAAACTTACATACACGGTTCTAAGAATTATACGAAAATTATACATAGAAAGACAATTTACAATAAAGTTCACTATTGTTAGGCTTATTTTATTTCTACTTAATTTATTTTAATAAAATCTTATATTTCATGTTATATTTTGAACAAAAATTTCTTTTAATGTTAATTATCGTATCTTTATATATTTATCAACCACATTTATATATTTTTACATATAAAACATGTAAGAGTGGGCATGAATCGGATATGCAAAATTTTTGAGGTATTTGTGATCTAATATGTTTCGTCTGAATAATCAATTAACAATTTCGATTCAATTCATAATCATCCGGATATACAATCTTCCAAAATATTATATTTTACCCGGTTTTGATCAATAAATATAAATAAATAAATTTAAAAGAAATACAAAAATCTAAAATAATAAAATTATTCTACAGAAACAATAAAAAAAAAACTTTTTTTCTTTTTGAATACTAATACCTAGTTTAATAAATTTAGAATATAAAATATTGTAAAACTTCTTTATAATATATTATTTATATAACTTATATAAACTTCACTAAATATATGTATATATATAAGTATATAAACGGATTCGATCGAATTTTCATTTTTAAAATGTTAGGATTTTTTTATTTGCTTTATTTGTTACGGATATTGCATATAAGTATTTTTTTTTCTTCGTAGAGTAATGGATATTTAGATTTTTTATTCGAATCGAAAAAGTATGATGAGTAAAACCGAAATTTATGACTATTTTACCCAATCCTACATACATGTACACATTTTTGTGAGCGCATATATAACTAAATATTCACTACAAGTGAAGATTCTAATTCTCTTGAAAGTTGGAATATTATTTTTTAATGTTTTCACTCACCATCGACCAAATTGTAATGAAATGGATTTTCTTAATAATTTTGTTTTCATTTATTATTTTAGTTTTGATTTGATTTGATTTTTCATGCTTTTGAAAATTATAGTATGAAACCATTTGTTTGACATCAACACTGTTTAAATTCATATAACATGAAACCAAAAAAATAATAGTAATTTTTGGTTATCATTAAAAAATTTAAAAACCTCAAGCATTTTCACCAAATAAACAGTATAAATATTGATTAAGAATAATAACTATATATTTAATAGATTAAATACCAAAAAAACTAACCTAAAAAAAAACTAACCTAAAACGAAACATATATCTAGATTAAACCTATGTTCATGGAAACGGAAGCGGTTACGCGGAAGCGGTAAAAAGCGCTGAAACACAATTTTAGAAATATTTAGGAAGCAGATATGTTCTGGAAGCGTATATATATATATAACACAAAAGTTAATATATTGAATAAAATATTTTAAATAGTAAATTTCAGTACATAATTCATATACTATAACTCAAATAAATAAATGTATAATTACAAAGAACAAATATAATATAACATGTGTAAATCATATGTATAATTTCTTTGAAATTGATAAAATAAAGTACGAGAGTTAAATATTTCATGAACACCAACTGATAATACAAATAACATGTAGCGAAACAAATAAGTGAAAAAATCATATTACAATTAGATTATTATTCAGAAACTTAGAGTTGGAATAAATTTACGTTTTTAATGGTAAACTCTATTGTTATTTATGAATTAAGATTTTAAAAATAAAATGAATTAAATTGGGCTATAAATCAATTAAAATTTGCAAGCCCATAAGAATAATGTTCTTCTTTGCACATCAACAATACAACTACTGTCAAGCTTCCGATCAACAACCATCACACTTCAAAATTCTGGAAACGCTATTCTGTGACGATTTCATCCGATTCCGAACGTTTCCGCTTCTGATTCGGAAATAAGAAACACACATCCCTTGGCGATTCCGTGTAACGTAGGATTAAACAAACATAATATCTTCTTATCCTAAAAAATAATGAAATTGATAATCTCATTATGCACAAGGCGCGTGTTATTACCTAGTTATTATTTATTTTTTCATTTGATTTAATAATACTTAATTAATTAAATTTTTAGTTTAGTCAGGTAAAATTAAGTAAAAATGAAAAAGTTCATCTATCTATATTTATATATATTTAATACTATAGTCCTTAGTAGATTTATTTGTTTAAATTTTATTTATCTCAATAAATCAATAATCATCGCACACAAATTTTGTTTAACCTATAAATCCAAATAAATGCAATAGGTTCTCGATTAATCATGGGAATTTGTGAAGAATACCACTTTCCTTGTACACATTTTCAACTTTACACAAATCACCTTTACCTTTAAAATTTTAATGGGAAAAATACTATTTTATCCCTAGTTAATTAAACTAAAAGCAAGCTATAGATTCTCGTTATTCCCTTTCTCTCTGACGAAAAGATTACAAAGCAGAGCCCTGTCGTAGCTTAGGCGGTTGCGGATGAGCTGGTCTAGCTCTTTCTTGAGATGGAGCTTCAAAGATCGGAGCTCGTTGTTCTCTAGACGGAGCGCTTCCGCTTCCAGAGATGCCTCATGGAGGCGCGTGTAACACAGTGCCTCTCGATTCACCATATCTTGGCGTCGCTGCTGCATCACGTTGCAGTTGGAGTGGTAGAGCTGGTCACATGACAGTTCTACGTGAGATTTCATGATCCCAGTGGCTCCGCCACTGTAAGTAAACGGTGTGACTTCGTTTTCCATTGTTCGTCGGTGAAAATCGCGGCGGTTTCTGTTTCATAATCGCCGGGAAAAGAAAAGTAAATCAGATCTAGTTCTCGATTGAATCTATTATGAAGATGGATTTGAGTCATGAGAAGCAATCCGTGGTGACAGAAACAAGTAATGGGGAACAGTGTATTCGTGATGACTGTTTCTGCTATAGAGTCGACTCCAATGACGCATGCGTTTAAAGCCGAATCATTTCATACAACAGACACTGATGCCACATACATGAAGCCACAACCATCTTTGAATCAGATTGAGGATTTCAAAGCAAAGGTGTCAAACTCTCTTTTGGAACCAAGCCTTTCAATACATGAATTGCAGTCTCTAATGCGTACGAAAAATGACCCACAATCGTTTGGATGTGGTTCATTCTCTGGGTTGAGCTGTAAGAAACAAGCTGAGGAGTGGTTTGCTCTAGAAATGGAACAAGTCTATGTTTTAGAGGTGGTAGATGAATAAAAGAAGGTTGAATATGTTGATTTGGTTGCACACCAAGTGTTCGATCATTTGTTTCTCAGGGGTTGTAAGATGAATAAAAGAAGGTATCAAAAAGACTGGACTTTCAAGTACAAACTTAAGAAACAAAGCCAGCATTTCAGTGACAAGGTTTTTACAGAGAAGAAAAAGCTTCAGGTAGTTGTTTGTGGAAATATCAATGGTGGTTTTGGATGGGATTAACTTTGAGAGTTTCCGTGAATATTTGGTAAGTGTCTGTGCTACTAATGTTGAAGAGCTTGTGCTCCTGAAATTTCGCAGGAGAGGGAAGGGTGGGGAGGATGAGAAAGGGGAGAGTTCGAAGAAGAGTAAAGTGTCTGGTGAGAAGAGTAGTAGTAGGAAGAGGGATGAGGGAGATGGGGAGGAGGTGGGGAAGAGTAGTAGTGGGAAGCATAGGGAGTCTAGTAGAAGGGAGGTTGATAAGGATAAGGAGAGTAAGAAGTATAAAGAGAGTAAAAGTGGGAAGCTTTATGATGGTGATGATCACCATAGATCTTCCAAGGCTCTCTCTGATAAAACTGGTATGGGTTAATGTTCTTGTTTTAATTGACTTGTGTGTTTGTCTTTAATGTTGCTTCTGAGAATACAATTTGGTTATGATTTGTGTATGAATTGTGGTTATGGAACTTACCTGATCCATCTGTTTTCTCTCGTGTTTGTGTATATGAGTCAACGTTCTGTTTTAGTTGATCTGAGTGCTTGTCTTTGATGTTGTTTTTGAAACTCATTTCAAGTCTGTCATGATTCATCTGTTTTCTCTTGTGTTTGTGTATGAATCAACTTTTTGCTTTGGTGTATGCCTTTTGCTGCTGGTATGGTACTCTTATGTTTCACATTGTATATAGTTATGATTTAGACTTCTAACTAGAACCTGCGATCAGCCTTTTTTTCTACTGAATCTGAGTTAAGATAGTTTCTTTGTCCCCTTCAGTATGTCCAGTAACAATCAGTTCCCATGTTACTGAATCATTATATAGACTGGTTGATTTTGAAGTTTGAACTATTATCCCGGTGTATTTTATTGAATAGTTTTCTCGTTTATAACCTTTGTGTCATCATGCTATCCATTGACCAAAACCCTTCATTATTTTTGGTGACTACTCACAAGTCTTTATCTTTTCAGGGATCTAATGGAAGAAGGAGCGGTGAGGAACCGTAAGTTTTATTCTTACAAGATTTAACCTTTACAATATTTTCTCAGACTTTTGTTTAACCATGTTAGGGGTTTTCTGTAACAGGAATGACGAAGATGATTAACAAATGGCAATTAATAAATGATTTTATAAACCTTCACAGATGATTTTATAAAAGCCTTTCTCAATTATTTATAAACTCTTGTTAATGATTCATTAACTTTTATAAATAGTATATTAATTCCTATAAGTGTAGATACCTTATAAATGTTTTATAAACCCTTATAAATTATTTATAAACACTTATAAATGACTTATAAACTGTTATGGATAATTTATAAATCCTTATAAAGTTATTGTATATACTCTTATAAAATTATTGTATATACACTTATAATCTCCATAACTTGGCCATTTTACTCAATAGCAGCTGTTGCATCACCACTTGGCCTCCCAGAACAGTCCAGTCACTCCACAAATCATAAGCACAGCACGGAAGTAAGTGGTCTGAGCCAAACTCGTTTGCACTTCGACTGTAACCATAAGCAATCAACTCTCCGCAATCTCTGCTTTCTGAAGTTTGTGAACTTTTACATCTATCAGTTACATAAGCTACGTGTATAACAATCTAATGTTGTTCTGTCCAAAAGCCTTTATACTTGAACATCCAACTTTTGTAATTTTTCCTCCATTTTTTCTTTTGTTGTATCAAAACTTGTTGCCTCCAATGTATTATCACTCTTGTCTCTTCTATCAGCTTTTTAGCATGTTTCCAAAGAATATCAAACTCAATTGCTGTCAAATACCTCCAAATCAACCCATCCTTTAACAACAAACCTGTAACGCTTTTCTTATATACTCCCTCCCTTTATTTACAAAGATTTATTAGAAATTATAAGCACTTATAAATAATTTATAAACCCTTGTAAATGATTTATAAGCCCTTAAAAATTATTTATAAGCCTTTATAAAATGTTGTAAGATTTGTTAATCATTTGCCCTTAAAAATGATTTATAAGCCTTTATGTGTAAATTTTTTATAAATCTCTATAAATTGATTTATAATTTATAAAACTATTATTTATGATTTTATATATTGTCTGCCTTTAGCACTGAAAGCATCATTTTCTCTTCTTCGAACACATAATGAACACATAAAGCTGGTTGAATCTCGTATATGGATTTATAAACTCTTATAAATGGGTTATATAAATTCTTATATATGGTTTTATAAACCCTTATAAATAGTTTTTTAAACCCTTATAAATAGAAAGCGAATTTCCAAAGTTAGATAGAAAAAAAATAAGATATTTATTGTAACAGTCAACAGAAATACATCATCTCTCCCGTTAGAATTATTTGAAATGCTAATTCAATAGTAGAAAATTTCAAATTTTGTTTAGTTTTATTATTATAAAAAGAAAAGACTTATTGTAGATCACAAGCTAAATTATTTATAAACCTTTATAAATGATTTATAAATCCTTATAAATTATTTATAAACCCTTTTAAATAATTTTATAAATTCTTATAAATGATTTATAGACTATTATAAAAAGGTTTTCTATATATTCTGTTACATATTTGTTAGATGTTACATCCTTCGATTTAGAGTCACTAGTGCTGAAAAGATCACCATCCCCTCGAGTTCCATTATAACTTTCTGCGATTACAAAAAAGATAGACAGAAAGAGCATCTATGAGTCTATGAAATGGAAACAAATATGAAAAAGATGTAACAAAATTTTAGGAAAGAACCATTTTCTTAACTCACCTCTTACGGAGGATACAGTTTCGGATGGCTCTTGACTATCAGAACCAGGGATATTGTAAGGCAAGGAGAATTGAGTCCCTCACCGGTTTCACCTAAATACAAAACCCCAAAAGTTAGTATTTACCCCAAATATTATCATCTGCAGGCGAGTGAGTTTTAGACAAGAGTACAAACTTTGTCAAAAATATTATCATCTGCAGGCGAGTGAGTTTTAGACAAGAGTACAAACGTTTTCAAAACGACATGATTCTAGAGAGCTTATGCAAGAAGCCTTGAGGGGTTTAAAAAACTTTTCACCAGTTGCAGCTATTTCCATAAGTGCTACATAGGCTGCCTTACGAGTTGTCCAGTCTTTGTTTTTAAGCGCATCTTGAAAGCTACTCATCGCTGAGATAAGCACACTCTTCGTTGTTGCCCCACCAGCCTAAACCAGAGTCAATTCCAAAATTTTCGTTATACAAAACACATCTACAGCAAACATGAGATTCTTCTATCAAGCAACAAAACTTACCAGGATGATACTTCTATTAAGCTCAATAACCGCAGGTTTCGCAATGAAATGCGGGCTATTAAGCAGCTTCACAGTTTTAGTAAGCATGCGTTGTATAATCGCAACAGGAGCTTCAGGACTACTATCAATAACTCTCGCCAAGCACAAGGCTGCACCTGACTGCACACTGCACATACTTATTCTGATCACCAATAGCTTCAAAAAGAGGCTTCACCAATGAAACAAAAACACCATAGCTCTCGTCTTCGTAGCAGCTCATCTTGGAAGCCAAAACATCCATAGTTTCAATATACGCGTCTCTCACAACAGAATCCTTATCCTTGAGCCGTTTAACTACACTAGAGACCATCTTAGCGGGATACGGAGCAACAAGTCTTTCATGAAAACTAGCAAAAGTAGCGATTAACCTGATACACTCTTTGCGAACGGCGCTCTTCTGCTCAGAGTCAGTATCGAGTTTACATGAGAGGAAGCAAGAGATCTTGTCTGGTGCGAGATGCTCGACTGTGTTCTCGAGCTCGTCGACTCTTCTCTGGTGTGTATCTCTATCAGCGAGCTTGTTTAAGGTAGTGACGACTTTCTTCTTTAGCTCGAAGATGACCTGTTGTGGATTTGTTGCCTTCATGTTTCCTCCTCTTCCTTTTGCCTGCATGTTAGTCGATCGGATCGGATAACTCTTCCCTTATGAAATTGCAATTGCAATTGGAGACGATCGGAGGCGGAGGAGCGGGGTAGGTGATGAGACGGTGGTCTTCGAAGCCTCTGTTAGATGAAGCATGGAAGAGAGACTTGGGTTAGCTTAGGTTACTCTAGTCTTTTACCGATTAGTCATTTAGGTATTTGAGAATATGACCTTATGTGAAAGGTATTTGTGAATTAGTGTACCAACTAATGTGTATTTATATAATTCTCCCAATAATCATCTATATACTTGTGGATCCAAATATAATTTAAGTATTTAATTATTCATAAATTGTATTTTTAATCAAAAATTTCCTATTTTTTCTGTGTGCACCGAAATTTCAAGAAGCCCAAGATCCGGTCTATTTAAGAGTGTCTACATATACTGAAGAAAAGAAGGGCCAAAGCCCATTTAGCCAGGTAATCTACTTTTCAAGATTTAGATCATGAGAGTTGTCGATAAAAGAAATAGAAGTGAATGCAGCGAATATCTGCTGAATATTCATCAGTGAGATAACCAAAGAGTTTGTTTGTTGAAATGATTTTGTAATTAATTTTGATGAAAAATATAAACAATTAAACGAAATTACTTACTTCTTTTATTATAAGTTCATTTTAATAAAAGTTGGATTTTTAACAGTAAAACTCTTTAAATAAGGTTGTTTTGGATAAAAAGCTCTAAACTAAGTTTTTAATGGAAAAACCCTCAAACTAATTTTATTTAGTGGATTGATCCTCTCTCTATAGTGCATTCCAAAATGACCACTAGTACCGGTAAATCTTTAGTTTATGAGTTTTTACACTAACTATACATAATTGAGGTGTTTTACAACAAAAAATGAAAAATTCAAAAAATGAAAAAATAAACCTTTATCTAAAAATTAGTAATTTAAATTTGAAACTTCAGCGTTTTAACAATTTATAAAAATATATGAGTATGATTTGTTTTTAAAATCAACACTTTGTATGTAGAATTGAAAATATCAAAAACCAAAAATATAATAAAAATTATGTATTTACCATTAAATATATAAAAAATCCAAAAATAAAAATATTAAAAACTTTAAAATAGAATAACCCTATCTAAATATTAGTAACATAAATTTTCAAATGTTAGCTACTAATTTTTAGATAATTAATTTTACTCTAATTCTGATCAAAAGATCCACTACTATTAGTCAACTTATACATATATAATGTTGATTTTAAAACAAACTCATCAATTTGCATAATTGTTTTAAATGCTAATTTTAAAACTTAAGTTACTAACTTTTAGAGAATGTTATTCTATTTTAAATTTTTACATATTTTATTTTTGGATTTGTTATATCTTTAATGGTAAATACATAATTTCTTATATTTTTTTTGATTTTTTATATTTTCAACTCTTTACTTTTAAAGTGTTTATTTTCAAAACAAATCATACTCATATATTTTCATAAAATGTTAAAATGCTAAAGTTGCAAATTTAAGTTAGTAATTTTTAGATAAAGGTATTGCATTTTATTTTTTCATTTTTTTGCATTTTTAAATTTTTAGTGGTAAAACACCTCAATTATGTTTAATCTATTATATTAAAACAGAAGTCATGACTTATTTCATGTGTGATTTTTTAGTTTGGACCATTTACTAGGAAATCATTATATTTAACTGTGATATCATTTATCTTATGTTAATATCACATTAAACCCCCACACTGACAACAACTACTAAATGAATCATGTACTATATATTAGAACACAGTGAAATATTTGTATTATTATATAAAGCGTCTTTTTTATTGTCAACACATACATACTATTTCATTCATGTGTCCTTCTCCTTTACGTTAAACTATCCACTATAAAGAACATAAACAATTTTTGTTCTTCAGTATCCTTAGCTGCATATATATAAATCCTTAGAAAATAGTCTCTGTTTCAAGTTTTAGAAAATATTGAGATGCGTGGCCATTGTTCTTCATATCTTAATTTAGTTGCATTTATATAAATCCTTAGAAATGGCCATTTTTCAAGAATTTGCTTGTGTCATACCTTATTCATTTTTTGTTTTATTATTAGCTTGCACAAGTCAATACTGATGATCTCTGCAAATATTGGTTACAATATACAGTGGGAGAAGATGAAAATGAGCGA